GTGCTGAGCTCCAACCTGAGCCTGCCCTGGCACAGCTCCAGCCCTTCCCTGGCTGCTGTCCCTGTCCCAGCCAGCAGAGGTGGGAGCTGCCCCTCGGGAGGAGCTGCAGCCCCCGCTGAGCTCTGCCCTCCTCTGCTCCAGCTGCACCAGCACAGTGCCCTCAGCTGCTCCTCACGGCCCCTCCAGGCCTTTCCCCATGTCCCTTGTTTGGACTCTCTCTAAGAGCTTTGAGACTTCCTTCTATTGTGTCCCCCCAAACTGCCCCAATATTGGGGTGAGGCTGCCCCAAGGCAGAGCAGAGTGGGACAGGGTGAGGCTGCCCCAAGGCAGAGCAGAGTGGGACAATCCCCTCCCTGGTGCCCCCAGGGAAGGGATGTCCCTCCTGGCTGCCAGGGCACTGCTGACCCAGGGCCAGTGGGCACCCACCGGTACTCCCAGGGCCCTTCCACAGCTGCTCTCCCCCCTCACTCCCCAGTCCACACACACAGCCAGCATTGCCCCATGCCAGGGGCAGAACCCAGCACGTTCCCTTGTTGAAATTCCTATGGTTGGTGATTCCCAGCCTCTGATCTGTGCAGGTGTCTCTGCAGGGAGTCCCCAGCTCCTCCCAGTTCAGTGCCATCCACAGACCCCTGTGGTCCCGTGTGCAGGTTGTTAATGGAGATGTTGAGGAGCGCTGGGCCGAGGATGGAGCCTGCAGACCCCACTAGTGCTGGTGCCAGCCTGGTGGCACCCTCTGTGCCCCACCCGTGAGCCAGTTGCTCACCCCTTGGGTAACCTGGTTATCCAGCTGTGGGCTGCACATCTGGTCCCTTCTCCCTGCATTCACAGCACTCTGTGAAGCACAACCTGCACCTGTGTGCCTTTATTAATGTTCACAGAAGTAGCAGGAGCATGTTCTGTGTGATGCTCAGGTTGGGGTTCAGGGAGGGGTTTTTAGGCAGAGCAGATTTCAGCACCCTGTGCCTCCCCCATCCCTGACCCCACATGAGGCAGCACCAGTGAAACCTTTCCCTTTGCACACCTTGTACAACAGGAAGCTTAACCCAAACCACACTTCCTTGGGGCTTTCTCTGCCTTTTCCATGAGTTTGGAAGGGCTGATTTCCCAGGAGTTACAGACATTTACAATAAGGGATTTTGAAGGGATTTGTCTCAGCCTTTTTTCCTTTCGATTTTGTTGTTTGCTGAACTTTATTCTGCATTTTATTCCATAAAAATGTACCTGTTTATGGAATAACAAGTCACTTTGCCTTACAGAATTGCAATTACCAACAGTCCTTGAAGAGTTTTGCAGTGCTCACTGGAAGTGATGAGCAGGTTCTGGTGGGAGGGTCTGTGTTGCTGCCCTGGCCTGTGTAGATACAATCACAGAAGGGAAAATGCCAACAGGCTCCAATGTACAGCTCATCTTCCACAGAAATCCCAGCGAGTTGCCTTGAAAGAAGTGCCCTTCTCCTGGAAACAAGGCCCTGGCTCCCCAGAAGGGCAAGGACCCAACACAGCTTAAAGCCAGGGGGAAATGAGGGGCAGGACTGAAGGGCGCTGGACACCTCAGCCTGCCTCTTGCCTTCCCCACCAGCGATGGGGTGGGCAGCGATGGTCAGGGCTCCACAGGCACTGGGATTTGTTCCTGCCTGTTGGAAGCCAATGCTCCAGCAGGGATTGCAGGTTTGCAGTGGCTCTGGCAGCTGCAGTCCAGCCCCAGCAGCTGTTTCAGCCTGCTGTGCCTTAGAGCTGCTCTGGGACTGGGGGAGCCATTTCCCGAAATTTGTTAGGCCTTAGTGAGGAGCTTATTGGTCAGGAACACACTGGGAATTCCCAGCACAGCAGCAGCTCTGGGCTCAGTCCTGGGTTAAAGCTCAGCGGGGAAGGTGGGCCAGGCCTGGTCTGTGCAGTGAGGCACCACAGAGGGCATTTGTCTGGAAAAGGGGAATCCTTGTTTACCTTCCTTGTGCAGCTTGGGGAGTTTAAAAGCACATCTGCAGCCTCCTGGGGGAATGCACTGCCCTGCAGAGTGGAGGTATATCCAACCCCTCTGCACCTCTGAGACCCCC